CGTCGTCTGCGTACTCGGGTTCTCGACCTCCGAGAACAGAGGCGGCGACTGCAGCAGATTTAGGTGTTACGGCCGCCGGAAGAGGAGGAGAGGGAGAAAATTGGCGCTGGTGTACGAGTACATGCCGAATGGCAGTTTACAGGACGCGCTGTTAGATCGGAAGTGCGCCGAGTTGATGCATTGGGATAGAAGGTTTGAGATTATTATCTCCATAGCCAAAGGGCTCGAATATTTACATTATTCCTGCGATCCGCCTGTTGTTCACGGTGATATCAAACCTTCGAATATACTGCTGGATTCTAATTTTGATGCTAAGATTGCCGATTTTGGTTTAGCTCATGTGTTGAGTCGGGAGGACGAGTTATCAGCGACTGGTGCTGAAGAGGATGTGAAGGCTGGGAAGAAAGGGGAAGATTACGGGTCGATTATTGAAGAAAACGAGAGCCTCGTGACAGAAGATACTGTCGTTTTGAACATCGATCAATCTCCAGATGATGCTTATTGCTTGAGAATACTCGACGACGATGATGAAGTTGCAAATGCCTCAGAGAAATCTCCTTCTGACGAGGTTCCGGATCGATCGAGCGTTGATAGTGCTAACGTTCGAAAAGAGATCAAAACAGGAAAGGAAAACGGCGAGGACTGGTGGTGGAAGCAAGAAAACACGACTGGATTATCTGATTCCGGTCGAGTAAAGGACTACGTAATGGAGTGGATTGGGAATGAGATCAACAAGGAAAGGCCCAAGAAGGAATGGGTCAAGTCCACTAGCTCGATCGATGAAGGTGCAGTTACCAGAGCCGTGCAAAAGAAGCAGAGTAAGAAAAAGCTTGAGTGGTGGGCCTCGCTCGACCGGGAGGCCGCGAAAAGGAACAAGAACCGGAAGCCTAGAGAATGGTGGAAAGAAGAATTTTGCGATGAGCTTACCAAGAAGAAGAAAAAACGAGTACCCAAACCTGAAAATCATGAAGGAGAAGAACAATTATGGTGGCAAAAGGATGATCAGGACTGTACACAAGAGAGGAAAAGGAGGAGGAGCAAAGGAAGCCGGACTAGCCTCGACCGGTGGTTCGAGGGTTTTAGCGGCGAGTTCCGTATAGGAAGGCGAAGCAGCCGAGATTTGGGTAGCAATAATAATAACGATGTTCCCAAAAGCGGAAATATCAGCAGCACACCTAGTATGAGGGGTACTGTTTGCTACATAGCTCCCGAGTATAGTGCTGGGGCTCCTTTGTCCGAAAAGTGCGACGTGTACAGCTTTGGCGTGCTCCTGCTGGTTGTGGTCTCTGGCCGGAGGCCTCTGCAGGTCACGGCTTCCCCTGTGCCAGAGTTCGAGCGGGCCAACTTGATATCGTGGGCCCGCCAGCTTGCGCTCGGCGGGCGACTACTGGAACTCGTGGACCCGGGCATAGTGTCGCTGGACAGCAGGCAGGCCGAGCTGTGCGTGACAGTCGGGCTTCTGTGCCTGCAGCGTTCTCCCGAAAAACGCCCCACCGTAAGAGAGATCGTGGGGATGCTTTCGGGGGAGTCTGACCCGCCCGTTTTGCCGTTTGAGTTCTCGCCATCTCCCCCGACGATTTTTCCGTTCAAGTCGAAAAAAAAGGTGCGGTAATTTTGTACTATTTTTACGCGAAAAAAATAAATTTTAGTCTGAATTTGATGTTTGAATTCTTTTAGGCAATGATGAATGAAACTCTTATTCATTTACTTGTTTTGTTGCCTTCCATCCCATTCCATTCTTGTTGACATTGTAGGAATTCCATGCATAAAGTATAGATGTAGACTTTAGTATCAAATGATGCAATCATAAATACTCCTCACTTTATGGTAGAGGGCTTTTGTACTGAAGGATTTTTAGTGCCCACTAGTTTTGTTGATGACCTTGCTTTTTGTGAAGTGTGGAGATGATAATACAACTACTCTTTTGGGACCCTGCAAATTATTTTGCCTTTGCTCTCTTATCTGCTGCCCAACAGAAAGAGGCAAGCTTTATTCAAAAGGGGCATTGATTTTTAGGTCCCATGTGTTTTCTGATGAGTGATTTGAGTTTTGAGTTCATAGTTATCTTCCTTTTGAGTTGTTATTGTACTTGGCCCCAGTGTATAGGGAGATGCTACAGTTCCGTTACTGAACCATTTCGTCGGAATTTGTAACCGTTAGATCAACTATCTCCGACGGTTACATGATGAACGGTTACAAACCCCGACAGAATGATTCTGTAACAAGACAAGACCGTAGCATTTTCCCAATGTATAATGCACAAAATTACAACATCCAAATGGGTGTCGATCCACGGAGAGAGGCTTTAGAGAGATCATAATTTTATTGTGTTGTTGAAATATGTAAACGGGGGATCAATCAGAATGGTTTCACAAGATTATCCTTCTTTACAAGTTGACTACACAACTGAAGACTCGTGAGTTTGATGTTGTCAGGCGAAGTTCATATTACTTCGAAAAGGGAGGTGACACTGAAATTTGACGTGCAATTTAGTTCAAATTAAAACTTGATTGTGTAGGACCAACTTGAACTTGGGCCTTTAGCGATCTGGGCTAGGACCAACTTGAAATATATGATGCCTACTCAACAAACTGATCAAACGGGCCTTAGCTTATTTTACTTTGAAACCAGGCTGAAGTTAAAACTTAACCCAGTTATAGGAGAAACCAATCCATTACATTCCTCCTCTATATAAAATATAGCAATGTTTTTATTTTTGGATTAATTGCATAAAAAATCATCACCTTTTGTTTAATACGGATATGTTGTCGGCACGGAAGAGAGCTACAAGATCATATAAAAATTTTCAATATCCGGCGAAGTTGACGGCGACGGGTGGTAGTTGGCGGTGGCAGTCCGGCGGACGAGACAAAATTGCAACACTTAATAAAAGTTAGGTATTTTTTTGCCAAATTGAAAAGGTTGAGTTTTATTTGCAATTAAACAAAAAGTGGTGGTTTTTTATGCAATTAACCCTTTATTTTTTGTTACTCTAAACATCAAATTGAGATGTTTTAGATTTAAAATTTAATTATGTTTATTATGAATTATAAAATATAAAACATTTTATCAATTGAAATTATAAATATACTAGTACAATACCCGTGTATTACACGGGTGCTTGCAAATTTTTTTCTTAAAATGTAAAATTAATGAGAAAAATTAGTTGAAATTTTAAATACCTTTTACATATATATATATATATTAATATATATTTAGTATGATACTTTTTATTTGTGCGACTTACATGTGCTATATTATAATAATTTTTTAACTTACAACACATAACTACATTAAAAATAAATATATCAATTGATAAATAATTTTATTTTTCTAATGAATTTTAATAAATATTATTATCTTTTCTTATTATAAAGATAAATATAATTTATTTATTTCATATATACAATATAGATGTCAAATCGAAGATCATCAAAAGACGATTAATTTGATATATAATATATGTAAAACCGATAAGAAATACAATAGTTATCAACTTTTAAAATACATTTACAATTCAATAGCTAATTGAAGGAAACAAATCAAAGTCAGGGATATATTAGTCACTTAGTACCTCACTATGTAAAATTACAAAAAATTAAAGGGTTATATTAGTACAAGTGATAATAAAATACCTAAATTAGATAAATAGTATTTATAGAATGTCCAAATCTAGATTATTAGTTATTAATATATCAATATTATTTGTCCAAACCTAATTACGATGCATGATTCTTCGCCAAGTAGAATTCCGAAGCACCATAAGCAGCCACATAGACTCAGCGCATTCAGGAATTATATATAGGGAAGATTTCCAAATTTACTGATTATTTTATTTGCTATAGTTTCCCGAACATATATGTCAACTTCTAATATTTCGTAATCCTATGTGTCGTATTTTGGGTTTTGCGTCATTTTCTGGTACTTTGCACTA